TGCTTTCTGTGAAAGTTAAGTGAGGAAGACCTTTGAGACTCAGATAAGGGACTGAAAATTCAAGAAAGGTACTTTATATTCTTGAGGTTAGTAATAATCATGTAGAATTGGGTGCACTTTGGGTCATAGGGTATCAAAAGTTGGAGTAGCCACCAAACTCGGTGATGTCAGGTTAAGTCAGGCACTTTCTGGGAATTGAGGGAGATGTCTTTTTTGTTTACCTTCTGATCTTGATCTACTGGAGAGACATACAGAGAAATTCCACATATTTCAGCAGCTGATTTGAACTCATCCATTGTTGAGTGATGTGAGCAGATTTCAGGGAGTTTCTTCAAAGCATCTGTGTTTCCTTAAGTTCCCTTCTCAGACATCTATCTTACTCTTCCATTCCACATTTGTGTCTCTCTCTCCGTAACAAAAACCAGTGGGCTTGCTGTTCAGAAAGCATGTCTGTTCTTCAGCTAAGTTCCCTGGCTGAACACAGCATACTTTCTGCAGCAGTTGAAGGCAAATCAGCAGACTTTGCTGAACCAGCATAGTAGTACATTCATGTGCTTTTCTGCTGACTTTTTTTTTTTTAATCGAACTAGATGTTTTGTTAGATGCCTGCTAAGTGAGCGTGTACCTTACCTCTTGGAAATGAATGATGTGCAGTTCTGTTTTGTTTGAATAGATTTGTGTTGGTATCATCATGAAGCTTTTGGGACAGTCCTTTGCACTTTGATATTGGAACCCTAGAAAAAAGCTACACCGTTCTATAAAGCTGTCTGTTGTGGAACAGCGAAGTTCACTCCATAATAGTTAAATGGATCAGTGTCCTGTTGCGGAATATTATGAGGTTTAAGGATCATACATCCTTATAATCAGCCTATCTTGTTTTGCCTTTGAAAGAGCAAAGATGAAAGAAAGAAAAATTGCCAGTAGCAAGATAGGCAACAGATCAGAGGAGTTCAAGTGGAAAAGATACTGAGACTTGCAGGAAATACTGGATCAGAGATCATCCAAATTCTGTCAAAAACATTGGAAATTTTGTAGAAATTTTCTAATGAGATGGTTAGTTTGGCTTTGATAGTTTGGCAGCTTTGTCAGGATGTTTGAGAAATTTAAATTAGAGGCAAGCCATGGGTTCTTGTTGGGATCACCCTGCAAGGGCTCGACCTTGAGGAGAAGGAGCTGTGGCATTGAGAAGATGGTAAACAACTAAGGAGGAAGTAGAAGCACGGGATATTTTTATGAGTGGCCAAGGGGAGGTACCGGAGCAGAAGAAAGAAGGAGAATGGTTAGAGAAGAGTGCATGGACACCTGCAAGCAGCCAATCCTGACTGTGTGAGAAGCGCATGGACTGTGTGTGGTAACCAATCAGGATGCATTTTGTGGCGCGTGAGAGCGCTGTAACTGTATAAAAAGCAGACTCTTGTAGCAATAAAGGTCTTTGGCTTGAATCCCCGCCAGAGTCCATGCCTTGATACTCCACAGGTTCTGTGCAGATGATGCTGTGGCTTAGAACCACTGGTCCGAATCTATGACTAGCCTGTATATGTGTGCTGTCAGGAAGGACTGGAGATTGCAAAACCCTTTCAAATGCAATGTTTGGTTGTTTCAGATTTAAAATGGTAATAATGCTAAAATAGTTTTTAGCATATTGAATTAAAACTGTATGAGTGAATGGCACATCATGGAGCCTGTCATTTTGGGGTGAGAAAAATAATTGGAACTCATTAAAGTGCCAGACATCTATCTAAAATCATATTTACCGTACCTGATCTTGACAGTTCAGTACCCTACTTACATAGCTGTGCTTTCTAACAATTACTACTGAAAACTTCAGGAGCAAGAGAAGTAAGCATAAAGAAAGTGTAAAACTCCATAGCATATATTCCACAAGGGCTTTCCTGGCTAGCATTAAAGAGAATGTTAAGGATTTTGTGCTGGCTATTAGCATAGGAAGCTTTCCAAAAGAAAAGAGATTAATAGGAAATGAAGTTGTGATCTTCCTGAAGGTAATCATTGTAGGTTGTGGGCAACTAGGACATAAATACTTTGGAAGAGCAGATCCTTTAAAATTTATTTATTGGAAGACTTGGTAAAATTGTTGGATGCTGAAGAGAAGTTTGAAAATAAAAATTAATGATACTTCATTCATAAGAGTGAGCAGAAAGGAGCTTCAAACCCAAAAGATGTTACTGAAGCAAATGCTAAACTTGAATAAGACTAAAGGGTAGACAAGTGAAATTTAGGAACTTACCAGAAGAAAATTGTTTAACACATGTGCAAAGCCATGAAAGTAAATATGACAAGTGTGAAATTTATGCAGAAGATCATAGTGATAACATTGATGTTGCTTCAGCATATTGAGCCTGTTGTGCATTTTAGTCTAGGCCCTAATTCTCATAGCTTGCATCTAGAAGAGAACGTGTAAAAATATTTTTGATAGTAAGAACACTTTCTGTACCTTTGCCAGTTACTGACCTGAGAGTTTTAAATGTTGTAGTAGGAATGAAGAACAGTTGGGCTTTATGTGAGATATTGGGAATGTAGTAACAAAAGGTATGAGTTTAGATCTGATACTAGATCTAGATGCTAGGACAGCAAGTCTGACTTTGCTATCTCTATCGCATAATAGAGCGATTAATGAGGACAATTTAGAACAAAAAGTTTCTCTAGTTCTGTATCATGCCAGAGTAGCCACTAGGTATTCTTCAAAAAAAGAATTAGTATGCTAAACAGCTTATTAGAGTTGTAGCTGTGGCCAAAATGTCTTTGAAAGCCGCTGGTTTAGGGCAGTGGGTAATAGGCTCAAGAAGAGTCACAACATGGTTTTGTTGTGCTTCAAAGAGATGCAGCTGTTGATGGGATGTTCGGGAAAGGAGGATTTGTTGATTAGAGTTTATGCATTTTGAGGTATCAGCATGTGGTTCATACTGAGAGTTACATATAGGCAAGAATGTCCCAAAAGACAGGTGCTGTCTTCGGTGATTTTGTGTGTGCCAAGGGATTGATGGTTTTTGGATCCAATAGGGGAAACCATTGCATCAAATTTACACTGTTGAAGTTTGGAACATGACTTCACTGAATATTGCTCTGGACTACCTTGCTTTCTTCCATCAAAACTTGGAAACCTTTGCTTGCTTATGCAATCTCTGTAATACTCAAAGTGTATTTACTTGGAAGAGTGGTTAGTTACTACAGTAGCTGAGAAGACCGATCTATTGCCTCAACTCTTGCATGTAAATCCGTTTTGAAGTATATAAACAAGCTTCTACAACAGAAAAAAATAGTACTTACCTGAAACATGCTGAGTAATTTCAGCTTTCATTAAATTTGAATGAAGGCTGAATGAACACTTCCCGGGGTTATAAGTACTAAAACTAGTAACTGAATTAAATATAATTACAAGGAAAACCTAATTAAAAATTAATATCTGTCTAACCAGAATAAAGACTTACAGGTTAACTAGGGAGAATTTTCTTTGAAATCACTGCAGTGCTGCTTGTATGAGTTACAAAAATAAGAGTGAAGGAAGTTTTATCTTCTGTAAGAGTATAGCAAACATTTGCAGTTATTGTACTTCCATGTACTTTAGCTATATGACTTATTCTAATAACTAGGAGTTCTAGCAAAATCCAAGCTGTATCTGAAAATGTGTATTTCAAATAGAAGTGGGTAGAAGCAAATCTAGTTTCTACCTAGAAAGCATAACTATTTCGACAGCATGAGTTATGATGTCTATGAAAAATTTTAGACATCTATCTCTCTTCCACTTGGTGGCTTTGAAGAGCATAAAGTTGGAATATATATTTTTGGACCACAAAGGAGGAGATTCAGTTCATTTGGCAGCACCTGATTATCAGTTATTGAATCACAATCTTCATCTCATGCCAACTATAGTAGGTGAAAGTAGTTGAGAAAACCTGAAGCATATTGAAAAAAGAAAATAGGCCAAGATCTTGGAATCTAGAAGGCATGAATAATTTCTGAAATCTTTTGAACTTACTTAAATGCCCTGGCACATTGCGAGTTTATCTGCCTAGGTTTGCTAAAGGTGACCTGGAAAGGATGTTGTGTGTTTTGTTGTTGTTTTGGTTTGGTTTGTTTGGGGTTTTTTTGGTGTGTTTTTTTTTTTTTTTTTTTTTTTTTCCAGTTGAGTTACTGACTTTTTCTATTTTTTTGTTTTTGTTTTGCTTCTTTGACCTAAAGAATGCATGAAACACATTTTTGTTGTTTTTTCCTTTGCTTATTTGATTTTCACTGTTGGGTTTTTTACACTAGAAAAACAAATACCCAATCTCTTACTCTCTACTCTAATTTGCAAAAACACCTCTGGGTATCTGGGAGCATAGCATGATGACACCTGTCTGGCGACAAGACTGATTTGGAAACTTCTTTCTCATCCTGCAGTAGTTCACTGCTGGTGTAACTGATCCTTGGGCTACAATGATGTAATCAATCCAGTTTTACACCACAGTCTTGCAGAGGGTTGCATTGGCACACCTGAGGAGGCAAAGGAGAAGGGAGGGAATTTCTTTCATGGGAGTTCCTGCCAGAGAAAATGTAATGTTGCAGTAATGCCTCAGTGATACTTGCTTGTTCTAAACTTTTTTTCCAAAAAGCAGTGCAGAGTCCTAAAGAATACTACTTTTTTTTTTTTGGTAAAATGTAATTGAAATTAAAGGTTAAGAGCAAGTAAAAACTTTGAATGTCCTGATTACAATTCACTTCTTTTAATTGCTTTACTTCCATTTTCTTGACTTTTTTTTCTGATGTCCTATCTTTGATATTTCTCCCTAGTCAACTAGTCTGGATAGAACTAGAATTTTTGTTGTTAAGAGAAGGGGAAGAAAAAGAAAAACCAAGCAGAAGAGAAAAACATTTAAGAAGATTTTTAAAAATAAAACTTTCAGGCCATCTTTTTGCAAAGAAAGAGAAAAAGGGGCACAAGCCGAATTTTTTTTCTCCTTTGCAGGTCACCTTTAATGCAAATGAACTGCTTCGAACTCCAAGTGACGAGGGGTCAACAACCCTTGCGTTGTAACTTCATTTCTCAAAAGATATTTACTTTGAGAGGCAACATGATCCAGAGAATAAGCACAGCATTTGGAATCTGGAACTCCTGTGTTCAAATTCCATTTCTGTCAATAACTTGCTTTGTGGCCTAAGGCAAGTTTTGTGCTAATTTTCCTCTTTTTCTTGAAGGGGAAACTGGGACATGGTTCTACATGTATATTATCTGTCTGCATAGGATATAAATATTTACTTCCTCTTTAACTTAATCTACATTTATCTTGTGAGGGTGGAGAAGTTGGATTTTTTTTTTTAATCAAACCGAAAACTAAACTAAAATCTAAACTTTTCTCCTTGATGCTCCTGCTAGCAGAATTCTTTCAGTGGGATCTGTAGGTTATAGCAGTCTTCAGATGTCTTGAGGCTTTTGTTTGCAGCAGCACTAAACATTGATAGAAATGGATAGTAGTTACCTAAACAAGTATTTGCATAAGCATATTCGTTATTTTTACCATGAAAAAAACCTTGAAGGTATGACTACAGAGGTATTGTAAAGGAGGAGTTAAACATGGAATAATGTTATGAGCATGTGAAATGGTAGTGTCCATCATTCATAATTCATAATCTGTTGTTCAAATTGTGAGTCTGTAGGAATTTTTTCTTGTGTATGTATTGATTTTGTCTAGAGAGGTTTTGGTCGGCTATCAGGTTTGTTTTCCTCAATTAAATTTTTTTTTTTCTGGATTTCTTTGGACTATACCCAAGAGCCCCAGGAATTAACAGGCCACAGTTTGAAAATTATTATGCATTGGTTGCAAATCTGTTCTAGGGTAGCTTTACTGATGTGCTTAACTGATACGCTTAACTGGAACGCTATCTTTTAAGTGGTGATGCAGAGATTCTTGAGAAGAACCCTGCTCTTCAGTACTGTGTGTACTTTCTGAAACTCTAAGCAGGTGAACAGAAACTAAAATGAAAGCTTCTGTGTGAACTGAGGAAGGCTTCTAAAATCAGAGCAGTGCTGGTTGTGCTCTGTCTTTAGTAAATATTTCACAAGAGCATATAGTATATAGTAAACATTACATGGCTTCTAAGCATGCAGTGTCAGGCAGAAAGTAATGATTTGGCTTTTATCATGTGAGGAGGAGGTTTTAGAGTAACGCTGACAAAATCACCACTTTCTTTGAAAAGTCACATTCAATTACTTTTATGCCGTTATTTATAGTATTCCTGTACCTCAGGCAGTTTTCCGTTCTCATTTCACAGTTCTCGGAAAACTCTAAAGTGCACTGATTTTATATGGACAATAGCTTGTAGGTATATTCCATATGTATTTTAATAGCTACCTTTTCTTCCTCATGTCAGGTCTGCACGAGCTGTGAAGACAATGCAGAAGCTAATGGATTTTGTGTGGAATGTGTAGAATGGTTGTGCAAGACCTGCATCAGAGCTCATCAAAGGGTTAAATTCACAAAAGATCATACAGTAAGACAGAAAGAGGAAGTATCGCCAGGTAACAGATTTCATTTATAATTTCACAAAGAATGTGTGTCTGCATTGGAAAACTGTATTAGACCACCACATTGCTTTTTAAAGTGATAAATTTTAAAAATTGTATTCCTTAATCCTAGTAAATGTAAAAGGACAGACTCATTATGGTATAAACCTTTGGTGCATATGAATTAGTGGAACTATGTTATTTTTCTCGTTGGTAATGAATATGTTTTAATAGTTTCCTTTCTCCCAGTCACTTATTTCAATTTCATTGCTGAAGGCTGCAACCATTTGAACCAATTCTGATGTTTCTTTGCCTGCTGTCCATCTAAGTGGACCTCTTAAATGATCCAGCTAACAAAAGAGAAAACTTTATTTTAAGCATTAGATGCATGAGCTACTGAAAAGGGAGACTTTGTCACGGCTGGGAATATGATAGCCATTTTTCTGTCAGATATGCTGCGTAGGGGTAAGAAACCCTACAGACTGATATTTCATATGATCTTTATGCAAAGTGTTTTAAACCAATGAATGCACATAGATTTTATCTTTCACCTGGAATGATTGCAAATTATTGTCTAGACTCTAGAGATCAGCTGCAGAAAATACTTCTTTATGCATTTGGCTCCTATAATTTTTCTAGAGGTCTACGGAATGGTTTATATGAACTTCATTGTTGTATACCACAGCAAAAGGAGCACTACTAGATCATATTTTCTCAGCATTCTGATAATAAAACATGCCAGAATTCACATTTTAGCTAAGCATATTTTAAGTTTGAAACGTTTTGCCTTAGAAATTAAAAGGAAGTATGGTTTTCCTCAGTAGGTTCTATGATAATTCAGGTTGGTAGTGACCTCAGGAGATCATCTAGTCCAGCCTCCTGCTTAAACCAGTCAGCTATGAGATCAGATCAAGTTGCTCAGGGTTTTATCCATTTAGGCCTTGAGAACCAACGACCATGATTGCGGTGTACAGTACAGCCTCTCTGAGAAATCTTGACAATTCTCCTGGTAAAAAAGGTTGTACTTTTATCCATTGAGAGCCTCTTTTGTTTCAGTTTATGCCCATTGTGTCTTGTCTTTTAGTGACATTGTAGGACAATTATAGAAAAAACAGGATGCTGACAAACATTCTATTCTTTCTAAGTCCATTGGACTTGCATGATTTACCTTGTAAATATAAAAATATTTTTATATAAATATAAAGACATTTTTATAAATTACTATATATTACTCTAAATATATGTATTATATATTTATTTTCATTCCACTATATCTAGTCATGTGAATTTCATATATAGTGCAGGCTTTCACTTCTATAATATTTATTGCTCAAAAGCTTACAGTATGATACTTGGGAGATACACACTATATTCTGTATTCCACTTTCAGATGTGGTTAATCAGAAGTGAGTACTGAGTGTACTTGCAGGAGAGGACAAAAGTAGTAGGTAAAAGTATCTGACTGTTAATGCTGAACATGACTTGGTGGTAGAAATGCTGTCTATGCATTCAGGCCTCCTCCAAGTCCACGGATGAGTTTCAGAGAATTTTAACTGAAGGATACAGATCTGAAAATAACTTCTTCCAGGTTTCATGAAAATAAGTAAATAAATGGGTATGGAAAAGAGACCTTATTGCTCTGCAGTGAAGGATGGACTGCAGTGTGAAACCAGTTTTCATTACAGGCCATATAATCTCTTCATGAACTCAGTGTCCAGCCTAACTCATAAGAAATTAGGCTCTGTCAGTTAAATTGATTAAAGAACAATTAATTTCTACCATATGGTGGTGGTTCCTATGCTCTTTGGTATTTGCTCACGAGAAACTGAAGTGAGACCTCTGACCCATTAAGAATGGGGTCCTGAAGGGACATTAATAACTTCTGGTTATTACATTTTGTACATTTTACACTTTTGAATGCCTGTGTCTTGATATCCTCAAACCCCCTTTCACCCATTTGACTGAGAAAGAAGACGGAGCAACGAACTAAGTCAGCAATCTCGTTTCAATTTAAGAAAAGAACTTGCTGGTTGTGCAATATCTTGCAACTGCTACAGTACTGGCTACTCCTTTTGTAAATAATTTTGTGGGGCCTTAATAAGTTATGGTAAAATAGGTTCTAGACATTTTCCGTGAGAGGGTGTTAGCTCCATATTTGACCAAGAGCGAGACATTGCAGTCTGAGCTTACAGCTGTTATATTCTTGATAATGTGCCCTGATACACACTTCCAGCATCTAGGTGAGGAATATGGTAAGGAAAAACGGGAGAATGCAAATCTTTAATAATTTCAAGAGACTGGACTGACATCTTCCTTTATTCAACAGAGGCAGTTGGTGTGACCAGTCAGCGACCTGTGTTTTGCCCTTACCACAAAAAGGAGCAGTTGAAGTTGTATTGTGAAACCTGTGACAAGTTGACCTGCCGAGACTGCCAGTTACTAGAACACAAAGAGCACAGGTATCGAAACAAAGTATATGTTTTGTGCTACTCACTTATAGGAAGATAACTTGAAGTTGGTTGTAACTCTAGCTGTGTGGAATACAGTCAGGTGAAAAAAGTGCAAAATAAAACTTTCTGCACAGAAATGAAGCCCACAAGTAAACAGAGGTTGTATCCAATACAGTGTGGTTGATGAGTGTGTGATAGTTTAGAATAAAACCTAATTCTTCCACTTTTTAATCTGGTGACTTAAGCACAAGACCCTTCTTTACTGTCAAGTTATTTGGATAGAATTTGTTGCTATGCAGCTCTTCAGAGAGTCCTTAGAAAGCACAGGGGCTGTGTTATGCAACTGTACACTTATGTGTAATTTCCCCATTTGTCCTCCAAGAAGATCATTATATAATGGAACATTACTGAACAATTTTCAGAATGAAGTAAATGGGCATTTATTTCTGTGAAGAGCCCTTTAAAAGGAAGAGTAAACCTAAAGTTTGGATATCCTGTACTTTGAGAACACTGTTTACAAATGCTCAAATCTTTGGGTTGTTGTTCTTTGGTTGCCTCTTACTGGCCACAGAAGCAGTATTATTTCTGAGTACAATACAATAATCTTGCTGCCTAACGTATACAGTAATGGTCTGGGACAGATGTACTCTCAGGTTAAGTATTCATATGCTCAGTAGTTGGAGAAGTGTTGACCACTGTTGCTCCTTGGAACAGGCTCAACCTTGCTCGTGCAGAGTTGTACTGTTCCTCTTCAACTCTACTTTTCTTAGGATTTATACCCCTTTCAGAATGTGACACTTCTTTCCACACCCCCTCCCCCAATTGTTGATTATTTCAGTTCCTTGATTTAAAATGTTGCTGACTTCTACTGACTCAACAATCTTTCTTCTGTTTCTACATCCTTATCTTGCATGGAGTAATAGCTTACATGCACTTTCGCTTACAAAGTGATGGCTACAGCACAACATTAATTCTTCTTTTGCTAGAATTGGGATATGGTCATGCAGTATGCCTTCATATTTATGAAAATCATAATTCTCAAAATAAAAATTAAAGGAAATATGCTATAAATTCAAATAGACTATAAATAAAATATATCAGCATTTGCTGACTTATATTTCCATGAGGACAATTAAATTCTGAATCTGAGCAGTATCTTTCTTCAATTAAAGAAATCTTTTGCAAGGCACTCTGCTTTTTAGCAAGTATACCACACCTTTTACATGTGTAAATACTCAGGTTTATTTACTACAGGTACCAGTTTATAGAAGAAGCTTTTCAAAACCAGAAGGTGATCATTGAGACACTAATCACAAAATTGATGGAGAAGACTAAGTACATAAAATATACAGGGAAGCAGATCCAAAACAGGTATGTATCAAATTTTGAGGTTAAAACTGATACAGAAGGCATCTTTATATACATTGTAATTTCTTGAAATGTTTAGATTCAATTTTGTACCTCTCTTGTTTTGTGCTTCCAGAAAGAGAAATTGTAAAATCATCAGTTTGCCTTAGTGACTGTTGCCTGTTTAATGTGCTTGGTTGTGTTAGGTAACTCTTCTGCTCAGCCTGTCGACTTAATGGGCAGCAATATCTTGGGTGCAACAAAACAACTTACGCAATGAAGACTGTAGAAGGCAGTCTTGTATTCTTCTCCACCATCAGCACACTTATTTTCTTAGTGTAGATCCCTCTTAGAAAGTGAGATGCTATGACTCATGTTTTCATAATGCTTGTGACACATATTTGAAGATTTATGTAATACTTTTATGCTTGGGGCTTTATTCACTCGGTACTACAAACCTAGGAGAAAAATAAGTTTGTAAAATGTGTGCTGCAGTAGCCCTTTGTAACTGCTCCTTCAGCAGAGTTCAAAGGCAGTACCCAGGAACATTCAACACAGTACAGGATGCTGAGTGCAACTTGAACTCTTCTTCTCTCTTTGCCTGTCTTTAAGGATGGTGGAGGTGGAAAAAAACAGTAGACGCCCCTCTCTTCTTTTGCTGCATCTAAGTGGTTATTCTCCCTTGCATCTTAGCAGTAGTGGTTTTCACAATACAAGATTATGCTTTGCTGTTACAAGTTTGAGCACTCTTGTTGAAATAGCTGAATTAGAAAATCTACTTATTGTTTTTGTTTCTGGAGTGCCATTCCACCCTAGATGGAAATCAGACTTAAACAGTTTTGATTGCCATGGACTGTTCCAGAAATGTGCCAAACAGTTAAAAATCAAGAATTTCAATTACAGTGAGCATTTAATTTTATCAGTGGCAGATGTCAGTAATTTTACAGACTTAATGGCATTAGAATTTGCCACCGGTTAATTAATTTTATCGTAGGTCACTGGTACTTGCTTTTTCTATCTCTCCCAGTAATTTTCCTGTATCTGATGGTATATGTATTAATTGGTGCATATGACCAAGAAATAATGTAGTCTCAGCAACAGAGTAGAAGGGGGGGGGGGTTATACTGTTTGGAGGGTGGGTTTGTGAGCTAAAGAACATGATTTTCTATGCTGTCTACTTACAGAATTCTTGAAGTGAATCAGAATCAAAAGCAGGTGGAACAGGATATTAAAGTTGCCATATTTACACTGATGGTAGAAATAAATAAAAAGGGAAAAGCTCTGCTGCATCAGCTGGAGGTAATTTCATTTCTATCCTAAGAAACAAAAATGTCAGTCTTACTATTTTTTGTGTGGATTCACATTAAAATAAAATCCATTTCTAGCATTAGCCACCTATGCATGTCCTATCGCAGTTCCAAAGTGGAGAGATGTCCCACACAAGCCATTTTGAGCAAGTGGGTTTTTAGTGGGGGAGGGGAGGAGGGTTTGTTTTTTGGGATGGTGGTGGTGTTTTGTTTGTAATATTATCTGTGTTCCCAGCTTTGTGAATCAGGGCTGTGTCTGTTTCTTTCTCCATGCTTTTGCAAGTCATAATTATATGCATCATGCATGAACAGTCTTTCCATTAGAATTTTTCATAAATTCAGCAATCCAATAGCAAATCGAAGGTGAGAATGCTCTAGAATAGATACCTGGAAAAATGTTTCCTCCAATTCTGTTTAAAAAGTTTGTGTGCATACAGAGAGTGATATAGGTGTATGAAAATGTGTCATAAGAGAAGATGGGAATCTGCACAGAAAGTCCTGGTATCTTGAATAAATGTATACTGACTTTTCTGTTTGATAGCTGCAGTCAGGGGTAGGGGTGCTTTTTAGAAGAGCTAAGTGAAACCATTTGATCATTGTGAATTACAAATATGAAAGCTAATGCCTGTTAAGTGTAAATTGAACCGTTGGACTGGAACTGTTTTTCTACTTGCAGACTCTGGCAAAAGAGCACCGGATGAAACTTCTGCAGCAACAACAGGAAGTGGCAGGTCTCTCTAAACAGCTGGAACATGTCATGAATTTTTCCAAATGGGCAGTTTCCAGTGGGAGCAGCACAGCACTACTGTACAGCAAACGCTTGGTAAGGTTAGGAAGATACCTCTCTCCATTTACTTATGTATGGAATACATATACAGAGTATTTCTAATATAGAATATTACAGAATGTTTCTAATAATTTAGCTCTCTGGTCATGATTCTCTTCTGTTATGCTACCATAGAATTATTGTAGCTCTGCAGAAGTAGGAACAATTCCTTTTCTCTGGAGTAAAAACCATGAAGCTGTGAAACACTGGGAAAATTGTTGCGTGTCCGATGGCATCACTGAGGTTCTTTTCAGCACCTGTTACAACTTCTGAGTTCAGAGAAGGATGGTGTTTATATATTGTAGAGTCTGATATCCAGCATTTTAGTGTAAAAAGTAATGTGTTGCTTTGTTCTGTCAGACTCATCTTCCATTAAAAGTCTTCAAAAATTGGTAAAAATGAAGCTGAGACTTTTGCTTGTCCATGCAAGCAGTTATGAAGCTAAATATTTCAGTGCTATAAATGGCACTTAAGCTCTGAGTGCACGTGGTCTCACTAAGCTGACTGCTCATGATGAATAGAAATCCTAAAAGACTTGAGATAAAAAACAAACAAAAAACTGACCGTGATTAGTCCAGAGTTTACTAGATTGTACTAGCCTGGTGACAGAAACCTGTGACAATGTTGAGCAAAGATGCTAGATCTTTTTTCTAATTCCTATAACTGGATCACAGTTTTTTTTCTTTATTTTCATATTGCTTACCTGAGAACCTATGGGGCGGTTTTGTGGTTTTTTTTTTTCATTTGGTTTTGGATTTGTTGTTGTTGTTTGGTCATGGGCGTTTTTTTTTGATACCCATTAAAATGCTGCAGGCTATAGCACATAGTGGAGTATTAACTGGGTTTTATCATCTTACTTCAAGTGGTTAAATTCATTTGTCCCACCTTATACTGCCTCAGCAAGTAATATTTTTTAATTGAATAGAAAAAAAGGGCATCAAACTGAGTCATGTTGTTTATAATTGCTTAGTGTTGCCACAAAGACTTCTGCTATATGAGTAAGAAAACAAGTTACGTTGCAGGAGTCTTAAATCTTATAAACATTATTCAATTGAAGAAAAAGATCATCTAGCCAATAAAGCCTCAGCAAATGAGAAATATTTTTCAAAAGAACAGATGAGCTTTAGACTCCTGACTTTTGCTGAAAGTTGGTATTATTTGGGAGTTGAGTAGCTAACTTGCCTGTGGACATCTGGAAAATCTGTTCCTGAACAGTGATGCATAGAGGAGCATGTGAAGACTTCTGCTCCAGCATATCCAACCATTTGGAACTAGGAGGCAG